GTCACAAGCATTGCAAAGAAAAGATCAAGACATTGTAAATGCTATGGCCCTAGTCAAAGTCTCCAAACAACGGTTCCAATTGTTGAGAGATGAATGATGGGAATCTTTGTTAAGTGAAGTTTCTTCATTTTGCCAAAAGCATGATGTTGTCATTTTGAACATAAATGATATGTTTGCAATTCGAAGGCAGCCACAACGGAGAGTTGAGCACATGACAAATTTGCATCACTATTGAGTTGAATTGTTTTATAAAGTGATAGATATGAAACTTGAAGAACTTAACACTCGTTTTACTGAGGTTAGTACTGAGCTGCTTCTTTGTATGACATGTTTAGATTCAAGTAATTCATTCTCTGCTTTTGATAAGCATAAGTTGATCCGTTTTGCCCAATTTTATCCATCTAATTTTTCTACACTTGAGTTGATGGTACTTGAGAATCAGGTTGAGACTTATGTAATTGACATGCGTTCTTGTGATGAATTTGCTGAGTTACAAGGAATTGGTGATTTGGCTAATAATTTTGTTCGGTTTAAAAAAGACATTTTTTCTCCGTTGGTGTATAAACTTGTAAAACTTGCATTAGTTTTACCAGTTGCGACTGCAACTGTTGAAAGAGTTTTTTCTGCAATGAATCTTGTGAAATGTCGATTACACAATCGAATGAGAGATCAATATGAATGATTGCTTGGTCACCTACATTGAGAAAGATCTATTTGATACAATTGACAATGAGATGATTATCCAATGTTTTCAGAATATGAAAACTCGCCAAGGACAATTGTAGAAAAATTGTTTTATTTTTACAAAAATTGTGTTTTTTGAAGATATTTATTTGTATTTTGTTACGTTTTATTGAAGTTCATCCCCATCAAGTGAAATTTTTGGATCCGCCACTGTCAATGCCAGCAGTTCTATTTGATTTAAATTTCATTCTATTGGAATATACTAATGTGCATGTTGACATATTGAAAAAATACTGAAGTTGCCAATTTTGTTGCTTCTGAGCCTTTGAAATGAAAACAAAATTCATGGAAGAGAAGATAATCAGATATTCATGGATTTATACTATATTAGTGGTTTGTGTTTTATGAGGATCTGAACGATTTTGCTTGAGACCACCAACATAACCATGTTCAAGTAATGTGATTGGAGAAGATGGATGTGATTGACTTGGAAGATGAGACAATAGATGCTGAGATACTCAATTCTACGGCAGTGACAAATGAACACTTCAAGACTGCTCTTGGAACAAGCAACCCATCAGCTGTACGAGAAACTGTGAGTATTATCAAGATATTTCTACTTTGACCTTCTTTACTATTAGGATATTTTTTTTCATTGGTTGAGTATCTGATCAGTAATTTTGTGATAAATGTGCTGGAAGTGCCCAATGTCAGTTGGGAGGATATTGGAGGACTTGAGAATATTAAGAGGGAACTCCAAGAGGTAAATGCAATTGCTTCATGGATTACATACTTGCCATGCTTTCATTCATTTCTGTTCAGTCAAAATTTTGATGTATTCATATTTGGGTATAAAGACTGTTCAATATCCGGTGGAGCATGCATCCTGAGAAATTTGGAATGTCACCCTCAAAGGGAGTGCTTTTCTTAGCTCAATCAGTTGATAACTCTCACTGGCTCGGTGAAGCATTTTTAATCCTGAGATTGCTGCAAATTGCAGTATTGAAGTTTGAGTTTACTATACAACAATCATTTTTCTGAAAAATAAAATTTTGCAATATGATCTGCCTATTTGTTCATTTTCAAGTTTGTATTGCTCGATTATGCCTGTGTGAGTTTACAGAAATAAATGTGAACATTATGTGCTATAAAATGTATTGTGTTCTCTGTACTGCATGATGATAATCATTGTTTGTAATTATCCCTTGGTATTGAGTGAGTTTACAGATTCTTGACAAGTAATGAATTTGTTCCCTCAACAAGAAGAACAGGATTATACCAAGGCACATTCAGATGGCCGTTAGGAACGATGAGGAGTTGAGCAAGTTGATGGTGTCTGTGACAATTGCAAATAGAGGTGTTTTGCCGAATATTCATCAGAATCCGCTGCTCAAGAAAACTGGGACCAAAAAGAGAGAGATCGGATCTGTCTCTTAGGAGTTTTATGGATTATAAGAATAGTTTAGGTTGATTTTGTTGATAAGCATGTAGTGAAAGTTGGATTTCATTCTTCGATGTGTAAATCTCATTTTGGACTAATAAGTAAAAATCTCATCTTCCTTTTCAATTTTTATAATTATTGGGATTGTTTAGAATGTTAAGGTTAAACATAAAATGAACTTCAATATAAAAAAGTATATATTTAAAACACAAAAAAAATCAATAATAATACAAGAAAATATAATAAATATACCTGCACAACGAGCGGGGTGCCATCTAGTATAAATAAATTTGTGATGATAATTTTTTTTTTAAAAATGAGATTTCTTGAGTTTATTAATGAAGTGGCATTATATCCGCCCTCCAATTAATCAAAGGAAAATCCATTAAAAAAGATTGCATCAATTGCATACATTGTAAGTATTTTCCAATGGCTTCATCCCAAATTCTCCACAACCATTTATAAAATCAGTGAAACCATTCCCTCCACCACCACCACCACCCCGGCCGCCCCCACCACCAAATCTAAACCCGTGAACAGAAGCATTTTCCACTGTAGCCCCTCTTATTCTAACCATTACCATAATCTTTTTATTTGTGAAGGTGGTGGAAACTCATATGGTGATTGTGAAGGTGGTGCTCTTGATGATGATGACGAGGAGGAGGAGGAGGATTATACTCCACTCCATTGATGCATTCTGAAGTTTCTGCCATCTCATGAGGCCATACTGTAGACGGGTTTCTTGTTAGCTCCAGCAACGAATCCCTCACATGATCAACTTGAAGCATCTCGCTATCTATTTTCCGCCACCAAGAAGTTCATAATAATTAGAACAATTAAAATAAAAAGAGTAGTTTTAATTCTGCCATCTAAAGTGTTCATAATTTTACCTTTACTTTGAACACATTAGAGATAAGTCCCCTAAAATGGGTTATATTCGCATTTGTCACTTCCAGACCCAATGAATTCAAAGCTTCCATCAATTTTACAAATCCAACAGGCTTATGTTCGCAAAACACTTTAACAAAGAACTCGTTTCCATCTAATGGAGCCACTTCAACTTGCACCTTCAAATGTACATTTATTCCATACATTAAAATTAACATATTGAAAGTCTAATTTAAGAGAGGAAGAAGATATTATATTTAGATTTTAGAGTACATTTCCTCCATTTGCTGTGTCTTGTCATTAGTGATTTCTAGGTCTTGATTTTGAACTTTAGGAAGAGTACTACCATTACCTGAAGCAGTTGTACCCACATGAAACCCACCACTTTGACTGAAAATCTCTGGCTTCACGATGTTGTGGTTAACATTCATGCTTGCATTATTGTTCTTGGCACTCCCTTTATCATCTGAATTCTCCTCCAGTTCATCTTGAAGCTCTTTTATTTCCTTTAGCAAATCCTTTATAAAGTCTATTGCGTCACCAAGGATTGAAGCTTTATCCATTTTAAAACATCAAACATTAAATCATTCTATAATTTTGATACAATTTATTTTTAGAAGATAAAAGATCAAATTAAAAGGAAGAATGGTTTACTTTTGAAATTTTCGGAACCAAAGCTCGAAGAGCATAAAGCCTATCATTAAGTTTCTTCCTTCTTTTCCTCTCAGCTACAAGGTTTTTAGCTTGAGGTCCCTTCCCTGTTCTCCTCCGATACTTGGTATCATCCTCATCATCAATCTGGTCACTGCAATCTGAGATTGAATCTGACCGTCCATTCTGATGCACATTATTAACTGGTGATGAGAAATTAGCATCCATGTTGCTTGTAGTAACCATTGCAGCTTCCTGCTCCATTGATATGCTGCATTGCGCTGTGATAAAATCAAATCATGTTTATATAGATGAAGATGTAGGTAAAGTGTTTGCATGAGAAAGAAGAGAGTTTGTGGATAGTTGTTTGGTAGGTGACGTTTAGCATGAGAAAGAGAATTTTTTTATATAATATACGAGCAGGAGTATATTGCATGACCTTAACCACCTTTTAAAGTATTCAATCTAAAAAATATCAACTGTAATTCTAAACTAAACTAATTATATAGATCCTGCGAACAAGGAGAAGATGTAAGATGCTCCTTTGCACACGAAACAGCGCCGGACAAAGCAAGTTTTATTTTTATGTGGGATGGACCGAGCTGGGCCAGTTATTATCCCACGAAATATAATTCACTTGATACAGTTATTATCCATTCTTTTATAAATAATTATAAATTTTAGTTTGCATTATTATTTTTTATTTATTAAACCACTTGAAACTTGTAAATAAAATGATAACCAGGCCACGTAAATCATTTACATGCAAATAAAATGATGATGTATGTAGCAACGGCATAACAAACTTGAAATTTGCTGCTATTACGGAGAAATTGATCATCGAAGAAGTTGCAATATTGAATCAGTGGATCACCCTAAAATATATTACAAATTTCACATGTATTATGTAAATAAAGTGACCATGTGTTATATATATATATAATGATGACGTGTTAAATAATATAACTACACCATGTGTGGTGACACTTGGAACATATAAAATTTGATATTATCTTGGTATTTGTAGCACTATTCTACATTTGTCTTTGGTATAACTGAAACTAAGATGAGTGTGTGCATACTTTGGTGTAGATTCTACCATGAAGAGCAAATAATTTTACTATAAATATATACTAAGCATTAATGCTCCTGTATTTGAAAATAGAAAAACAGTTGACACTTTCACTGTAAACTGTGATATTCTATACTCTAAAAGACATAAATACAAATATGTCACTGTCAATAAATTTTGATGCTTATCTTCACAAATAAGACTCCCTCTTGATCTATTACATAAAGGTCTTCCTATAGCAATAATTCTCCAAAAAGCACAAAAATGGCTTCTTTCAAACGCTACTTCTTTCGGGCTTCAATTCTACTGGGGATGCTATTCGTTGCACCTTCATTAGCAAGGCTAAATGAGAAGGTGACAAAGGGTGTTATTAATGATATTTGTTCCAAGACACAGAATCTTACTTTCTGCTTGGGGGTTCTTAATCAAGCTCCTGGAGCAAGTACTGCAGATCTTCCAGGTCTAGCCAAAATCACTATTGACTTGGCAACTTCTAATGCTACAGAAACTCTTCAAATAATCCAATCATTAGTCCCGAAAACAACTAATACTAAACTTAAGGAGGGATACGCAACTTGCTCTGAGCATTATGATAATGCCATTGGTGACCTTGGTGATGCTCGACAACACTTGAAAACTGGTGATCCAATGGGTGTCAATTTATCAGCTTCAGCTTCCATGGATGAAGCCGGCGATTGTAATGATGAATTAAAAGGGCTCCCAGCAGATCCTTCAGTCCTGAAGGGCAACCAGGATCTAAATAACATTTGTAGTATTATTTTGGTTATTGCTAACCGTATACCCCGATGAAACGTGTTTGTTTCTAACAAATTGCTTTAGTCACAGTGACAGATGTATCCATCAAGAATGGATTTCAACACAGATTCTAATTTAATAAAGTTTTAAAAGCAGTTTGCAGTCAATAACTTCAAATATTTTTTTCTCTATTAACATTATGTGCAGACTCTGCCTAGTCAATCATATTTGGGTGGAGTACTTGGTATTATTACCTCATGAATACGTTATTAAAACTAATTACGGTCATGGATACGTTTTGAGTGATTTGATAGGGGTTCGAACACTTCGATCATTAAAAAAAAAAAAATAAGCTATTAAAATAAAAGATAATTATTTAATTACAAATATTAATAACAATAAATATTATTTTGGGTTTGATTTTGATAGAATACTGGATGTTATTACAACTATGAATACGCCATTAATATCAAAAAATAAAACAAAAGGACTTGGAGGGTAAAGGTCTATAATTGGATTCGAGTCTGGAGAATCTTCCATCCTTGCTAAATCCATTAATAATGTTCTGTAAATAGAATTGTCCTTTCACGTTTTCTTTTTTAGTATTTTTTTTATAAAAATTATTTATTTATTTTTTCTAATTTATTTCATTGCCCAGTATTTATGTATTATTATATTTAATAAATACCATATGTATAGCATTCATTTTGACTCTCAGATATAGGTATAAGAAGCTAGCCTTATCATGCTCTATTTAATGGAGTATGATAAGTCAATTAACTTAATGACTAATGCACGACATGTCATCCACCTTATTAGATTGTCCTATAAATTATCACTTTATAATTAATTAAACTTCTCATTATGTAGAAAGTAAGATCAACTCATATAGTGATCAAAATTCCAACTAATAAAAAAGAGGGCACATCATCATATAAATCACTATTTTAAAATTTCACGAAATTTAATATACAAATGTAGAAGGAAACCAGTTTTCATATACATGTAAAATGTACAGAAATTTATCACATTAGATCATTTGTACAGTCGAAAACCTATTTCCCTCTACTTTTGCAACAATTGATGAGCTCAAAATGTTCCAAATCATCAAAGTCTTGTAATGTTTTACTCTACGGTTGAAATCTGATAGGGTTACTAATGAGAATTTCCCTACACTGGCATCGAGTTCAATGTACAACTAAACCATCAAGATTGTAAAAGGTCGTATTAGAATACGATAATCACTCTTCAAATACACTGCAATATCTGAAAGACAATGAGATTAGGAGTCCTGCATTTCAAGATTCATAAATGTCAGAGGTAATGCATGTTTATAAATCCATTCGTTTATATTAGACTCTTGGTAAAACACAAATCCAAAAACCCTTTTGAGTCCCAACAATTATGCTCCAACCATGGAAATAGATAGCACCCAGCAACCCCATGAATCACGCCCTTAATAGGGCATTCTAAGCGCTTTGATAGGAGCATACTTGTTGAGCATTTCTGACACATTAAGTAACATACCACAGATCATAACAAAACAAAATCACAAATAAACAAGCAAGCAAGAAGGGAAATGGGGACATGGGCAACAATGGGAGAAAGTGATTCCTTGCCTTTAATAAGAGTTCCAAAAGATCAAAGACACATGATCCATCCAAGATTCCCTTCCTCGTCACTTTTGTCTTTTTGCAGCCTGTTGAAAAGCATTGACAAGTCATTACGAAACCAAGAAATGGGAGCGAAAAAGGAATAAATTAAAAATAAAGTGTAACAAAGGTTATGGCTTTAACATGGTCCACACTGGCACATCATATCAGTCTATCGATTGGCTCAACAGTAACAATAATCCCACTTTCAGGCTTCACAAAGAGTACTACATGCAGATGTAGCATGCTTTAGTACCAACTCCTCAATCATGCATCAGCAGTAGTAAATAGATCACATACCAATACTAGTGAACGACATGCCAATTTTTTACCAAAATACGATCTGTTATTCTATGATTATATCCACCCATGCCATTAATCTACTGATATTACAGCACCTTTTAACAATTTGGAAAGAATTCCAGCAATGTAGTTATGTAAACATAACAAGATTCGTGGAGGAGCCATGCATTGACAAAAAGTTAATCCAAGCCCCCTTCAAAGAAACACTAAGTATCCATAAAGCATTGATGCTTTAGAAACCTACTAGAAAGTTGCACCTGTAAATTCTAGATCCGAAACAATAAAATAGATTCTATTGAAATGATAACTCCAGTGAATAGGAAAATATAAGCCTATTTAGAAAATCTAAGGTGGATTATAAACAGTCCAAAGTATTGAAAATCTCTAACATTATATCAAACGAACACTTGGAGAAACATTGACAGGAGATAATTGCACTCAAGTTCACACTAAATAAATGTATATTAAAATCATGCTTGCCAATTATAATTACTAAAAGCTTATACGATTTAACGTACATGCAAGTGAATGAGAGACAGAGAGAGAGGAGGGGAACGTGGAAACAGTGTATTAACATGTGTAGCATACATCATACACATCTGAAACTAATAAAAGTATAGCCCTTAGTTATAAAGTAAGCCCCACAATTAATCACCCAGAACTACAGTTCAAGCTATGATGTGGTGATTTCACCTTAAAATCCATGCAGTCAAAGATAAACTCTATTTTGAATCTAAGAGCATTTGAACTACCAATTGAAAATTTAAAAAGATTATAAATCACACCATTTGGAGCTTTTGCAACACAGTGTCTTCATATGCTTGATAGCCGGCTCCTACCAAATTATTCAGGCCATCAGTCTCCTCACAACTCTGTGCACTTGTAAATTCGGTTGCTACAGCTGGTTGAAGAGGCAAAACCAGCAAAGGGTTTGAAAGACTACCACAAACACTTCCTGTAGCAGCAACCTATAACAAAATAATATCAATTAATAAGTAATCACAGTATTACAAACTTGTATAAGGTAAAAATGAATCAATACTATTCAACAAACTCACCATGGCATCTTTGGTGGACATTACAACTAGTGCAGAACCTTTCTTCTTGGAACTCTTAATGACAACATCTTCAACCTGTCCAAACTTTGAAAATATCTTTTTCAATCTCTCTGCAGTATAATCCTCTCCAACCTTCTCCCACGACATCTTAAGCATCTTTTCCTTGTCCAAACCTGCCCCAGCAACCCCAGCACCAGTCTCACTTTGTTTAGTCTCTTTAAACAAAGCGGATGCTGCAGCCGCTCCTCTACTTGCGTGCGCGCGTTTGATTCTCGCAATCTCTTCCTTAAGTTGCCTGGCAATCCTCTCCTCTTCCTGTCTAGCTTTCACAGTCGGGTCCGGAGCAAAAGCAGCCGTTTCCCTCTCCTCAAGATATCTTTAATATATAAAGCAAAAGCTTTCATGCAATACTTTTATAATATAATAATATTATATTCAATTAATGTAATGGTATGGGTTGATCGTCATGTGACACATTTTGGAAGCTTTAAAATTATTTCATTTTGATATATTAGATTGATAAATCAATTAAATTACTCTATCTTAACTAGTTGAATCAGTATTTATTGCTTCATCCATAATTATTAATTAATTAAAAAAATGAAAAAAATAATAAAATAAGATAAATAATAATAATAATGGATTTGTGATTTTCATTGGTTGAATTTTATTGGTAATGATGTATACAATATTAATTGTTGCATTGGTTTTCCTAAGTTTAAATAAATAGACATAAAGATTGAATTACATAAGCGCATTACATTGGTTATATTAATAATTAATAATAATATTAATTATATAGTTGCATTGCGTTGACATTCTAAAGATCTCCATAATGACACCTTGGATTTGTGACTGCCTTGTGGTTGAATTTTATTGGTGATGATGTAGACAATATTAATTGTCACATTAGCATTCTAATGTCTAAATAAATAGACATAAAGATTGGATTACATAGGTGCATTTGCATTGGTAGTAAAAGCATACCTATTTATTAATAATTATATAGGTGCATTGTATTGACATTGTAAACCTTTCTTCGTATTCAATTCGTATTTAATTATGTTGGCATTCGGAAGGTCTCAATAAGAGGTTATAAAAGGGGCGTATGTTCAATTGTGTATTATCGTAATATGTTAGTTGGTGTTAACAATACGTCTAGTCTTTTGTTAATTGTTTATAGAATATGTTATTTTGTGTCAATAATACTTCTGCTCTTCATGATTTTGTTAATCGATGATTTTTTATTTATTTATGTTTTTGTTGTTGTTTATAGGTCAAAGATTCATGAATTGGCATGGAATAAAGGAAGGATGTCCGATTGACATTGTCAAATGAGTTGTTATTTTGATTTGTTCTCTTGAACTGTAAGTATATCTTCTAACTATTTTAATACGAAATTGTAAGTATATTTCCTAACTATTTTAACGGTTATTATTTGGTTAAATGATTGTTTTTATTTGGTCAATCTATTTGAATGATTAATTATGTTAGTCTTGCTGAACAGTAAGTGTATTCCTTAACAATTTTAATATGAATATTAATTAACTTTTGTTGATTTCGTTTTCAAGTAACAGTTGTTATACGAATGAATAATTGTTCCTTAACCATCTTAACATAAAGATCGATTAAATTTTGTTATGTTTGTTTTCAAGGAAATGTTAATGTACTTTACTAAGATCAAATCAATGATGATCCTATTGTCAGTCGAACTATGAGTATATGTCATATCTATATTAGTAGAAACAGTTCATTTGTGTTGAATATGTTTTTTGTAAAAATATTCATGTATTTTAATTTGTTATATGAATGATCAATTGTTTATATCCTGCTGATGTGCGAGTGTATATGTTAAATGAATTAATTTTGGCTGATTCTGTTTTTCAATTAATAGGTGTTATTTGAAAAAATTCTTATCAGTCCTAATATGATAATCCCTTAAATTTGGGTCAAGTAAACCATTCATTGTATCATCATACGCATTTCGGTTTCCACTGAACAATTAGTAGTAAATTGATCATAACTTGATCAATAAAAATCCAATTGATGGGAGGATTGAATCTTTAGAAACTAGATAGATGGTTCTTTAATTTGATATATTATGTGCTTAATTTGGATAACTGTAGCCCCACTTCCAAACCATTCCTTTCATCATTACACATATTTCGGCTTACGCTGAACAATCAGTAGTAAATTGATCATAACTTACTCAATAAAAATCTAATTGATGAGAGGTTTGCATCTTTAGAAACTAGAAAGATAGGGATTTAAATTGATATATTATACGCTTAATTTGGATAACTGTAGCCCCACTTCCGAACCATTCCTTTTATCATCACTACATTTCGGTTTCCCTTGTTTCTCGATTTCCACTGAACAATCAGTAATAAATTGGCCATAAATTACTCAATAAAAATCCAATTGATGAGCGGTTTGAATATTTGGAAACTAGAAAGTTAGAGCTTTAATTTGATATATTATATGATGAATTTGAATAACTATAGACTTACGGCCGAACCATTCTTTTTATCATCACACACATAAAACCAATTCAATTTGAGTGATGACAAAGGAAAGCAAATATTGATATGCAGTTTTAACTGTATTTGTTCTATCTCTTTTTGTTGATATTTTTTATGTTAAATACATATATCGAAAACAAGTTATTACTGGATATAACAAATTTTATTTATATCACAAATATCATCTGATGTTTGTTGCCGAACCATGTTGCTTTAGTAAACCATTTATAATATGCCGAACCATTATTATTATCCTTAAAGAAAAACAAATATTGATATGTAGTTTTAATTGTAATTGTTCTATCTCTTTTTGTTGATTTTTTTTTATGTTACATACATATATCATGAAAAGAGGTTGTTGCTGAATATAACTAATTTCATTCATTTAACACACACATTTTGGTTTCTATTGAACAATTAGTAGTAAATTTACTATAACTTGCTCAATAAAAATCCAATTGATAAGAGGATTGAATTTTTAGAAACTAGACAGAAAGTTCTTTAATTTAATATATTATATGCATAATTTGGATAACCATAGCCCCACTTTCGAACCATTCATTTTATCATCACATACATTTCGACTTCCACTGAACAGTCAGTAGTAAATTGACTATAACTTGCTCAATAAAAATCTAATTGATGAGAGGCTTGAATTTTTAGAAACTAAACATAAAGGGTTTTAAATTGATATATTATACACTTAATTTGGATAACTTTAGCCCCACTGCCGAACCATTCATTTTATCATCACACACATTTTGATTTCCCCTGTTTCTCGATTTCTATTGCACAGTCAGTAGTAAATTAACCATAACTTGCTCAATAAAAATCCAATTAATGAGTGGTTTGAATATTTGAAAACTCAACAGATAAGAATTTAATTTGATATATTATACACATAATTTTGATAACTGTAGTCTCAATTTTGAACCATTCATTGTATCATCACACACATCTCGGTTTCCACAGAATAGTTAGTATTAAATTGACCATAACTTACTAAATAAAACTCTAATTGATAAGAGGCTTGAATATTTAGAAACTAGACATATAGAGCTTTAATTTGATATATTATACGCTTAATTTGGATGACTGTAGCCCCAATACTGAACCATTCTTTTTATCATCACGCATTTTGGTTTCCACTGAATAGTCAGTGATAAATTGACCATAACTTGCTCAATAAAACTCCAATTGATGAGAGGTTTGAATATTTAGAAACTAGACAAATAAGTATTTAAGTTGATATATTATACTCTTAATTTGGATAAATGTAACCCCACTTCCGAACCATTCCTTTTATCATCACACACATTTCTGTTTCTCCTGTTTCTCGATTTTTATTAAACAATCAGTAGTAAATTGGCTATAACTTACTCAATAAAAATCTAATTGATGAGCGATTTAAATCTTTGGAAACTAGAACAATAGAAATTTAATTTAATATATTATACGATGAATTTGAATAACTATAGACCTGCGGCTGAATCATTCTTCTTATCATCACACGCATAAAATCAATTCAATTTTAGTGATAACAAAGGAAAACAAATATTGATATGCAGTTTTAATTGTATTTGTTCTATCTCTTTTTGTTGATATTTTTTTTATGTTACATACATATATTGAAAACAGGTTGTTGCTGAATATAACAAATTTTATTTGTATCACAAATATCATCGGATGTTTATTGCCAAGCCATGTAGCTTTAGTAAACCATTTATATATGCCGAACCATTATTATTATCCTTAAAGGAAAACAAATTTTGATATGTAGTTTTAATTATAATTTTTTTATCTCTTTTTGTTGATATTTTTTTATGTTACATACATATATCATGAAAAGAGGTTGTTGCTGAATATAACTAATTTCATTTATTTAACAAATATTAACTGATGTTTGATGTTGAACCATGTAGTTTTAGTAAACCATTCATTTTATCATTACATACATTTAGATTTCCTGAACAATCAATAGTAAATTGACCATAACTTGCTCAATAAAACTCTAATTGATGAGAGGTTTGAGTCTTTAGAAAGTAGACAGACAAGACTTTAATTTGAAATATAATACACTTAATTTTGATAACTTTAGCCCCCACTGTCGAATAATTAATTTTATCATCACACATATTTTGGTTTTCACTGAATAGTCAGTAGTAAATTGACCACAACTTTCTAATAAAAATCCAATTGATGAGAGGTTTGAATCTTTAGAAACTAGACAGATATGGATTTAATTTGATATACTATACGCTTAATTTGGATAATTGTAGCCCCACTGTCGAACCATTCATTTTATCATCACACACATTTCAGTTTTCACTGAACAGTCAGTAGTAAATTGACCATAACTTGCTAATAAAAAACCAATTGATGAGAAGTTAAAATCTTTAGAAACTAGACAAATAGGCTTTTAATTGGATATATTATATACTTAATTTAGATAACTGTAGCCCCGCTATCAAGCCATTCCTTTTATTATCACACACATTTTGGTTTTCCTTGTTTCTTGATTTTCACTGAATAGTCAGTAGTAAATTAGTCATAACTTGGTCAATAAAAATTCAATTGATGAGCAGTTTGAATATTTGGAAACTAGAAATATAGGGTTTTAATTTGATATATTATATGATGAATTAGGATAACTATAGACCTGCTGCCGAACCATTCAATTATCATCACACACATAAAATAAATTTAATTTTAGTGATGACAAAGGAAAACAAATATTGATATGTAGTTTTAATTGTATTTGTTCTATCTTTTTTTGTTGATTTTTTGATTGATTTTGTTATTTGATTTGTGCGTTTTACAATTATCGTCTTTCCTTAGGATGCTATCATCAAATGTTTATTTTTTATTTTTATTTTTTTTGCTATAGGTGGTGGTCAATTCTAATTGCAGCAAATAGATTTGTCACAAGACATTTATCTTCATGGCTTCTTCAATGCTTAAATTAAGTTGTATTTAGATTATACTGTTGGAGTTGTTGTTGCTTTCTATGTGAGTTCTCTTCTCAACATTCTTAATTTTTTTTAATTTCTAAAATAATAATAATAATAATAATTCATTTTTTCTTCTCAATAATCAAAATCAGTTTCTTACTTTGGCTCTACAAGTCTTCTGCTTAAAAGTTCATATTTTTCAAAAAAGTTTCTCTTTCTTTGATTGATTTACAGACTTATGAATAATACCCAATAGGTTATCCTATAAATTTTTTTGTTTTTCCTGACAAAGTTTTAAACTTTGGTTGCATATTTCAAATGGTAAAATATTTGAGGAGAATCACGATGATATGGACTTTGAATTCAATTTGTGGATATTTTATTTATTGATATTTTAATTATCAATTCAATATAAAATGAACTTCAATATAAAAAATATATATTTAAAAGACAAAAAAAACAATAATAATGTAAAAAATATATAATAAACCTACCCGCACAACGCAACTTAAAAATAAATATAAGTTACAGAAATTGCGGAAGGTCGATATGAATTTTAAGGTTAAATAATTGATCTTGATAATATTTAGATGATCTTGAATATCATATACAATTCACTACAAAATACTGACATCGAATATCAAAAACATGTCTACAAAAATAATATCAATTGTACAAGGTAATGATCCTAAAAATATAATTAGACCATATAATATTCAGATGATCTTCTCAAGTTAGATAAATGATTTAATGACATCTACCTATAATTGATATTAATAATTATATAAGTATAATTATTAATTTTATCTTAACACAACTTTATATATATATAAATTTATATTTATTTCAAAATTTGTATAATTTAACAATTATTATGTCTTAATTTAATTAATTTATTTTGCTAGAATAAATTTATTTACGATTAATCTATTTCAAAAACGTTAAATAAACATACCCGCTTAATGCGGGCCGATGTTTAGTTTGAAATATAGTTAGATCTACTATTGTTTTAGGTGATAATTCTTTATAATGTTTCTTCTCTTTTTCTTAATTGATCGGAGCTATCCAAATTTTATGATTCAAATAAACTATTCTAGTATTCTTGCTTTGGATCCTCCACTGGCAAAGTGGATTATCTGTTCTCGTTTCCCCAAATCGGACTTTATTAAAGTTGGTAGTTTAAAATGAAATTCAGTGTTGTACGTAAAGCTGACACTTTATCCACATCCTCACTCAATTCAAAAACCATTTTGTCT